ATATAATCAATTTAATTGCAATACAAACATCAATGCTTCTCCCACATTTGCATAGTTAACCCAAAAGATCGAGCTTCACCCAACCCCTAGCAAGAAAACTACTCACAACTCATGTTTATCAACATGCAATCAAGAATTAGGGTTCTAAATACTTCCATAATTGGGGAAAAGTGGTTAACAATTGAAATAACTATCATCCAATAACAAATTACCAAGAACTAAGAAGATTTAAATAACATGCAAATACCAAATGAAATCTGAAATTAAAAGGAAGAAGGTTGGAGAAATTACTAATTGAAGCTTCAAATGTTGAATACAAATTGCCAAACTTTGAGAATAATTCTTGAATTTAACTAATACAATGATTTGATTTGATGAAAACTAAGCTAAATTAATCCTAAGGAATGTTTCAAACTAAGAGAGATTTCTGAAAACTAGGCTACTGTCTTTCTTCTCCCCTCTTTCTTAAACGATCTCAAAAGGACCTTAAATAGTCCGTACAAAATTGGCTGAGATCGGGAAAAGGTCCGACCGAACTCTGGGTAAGTTCGGTCGGACTCAGGGTAGGTTCGGTCGAACCCTGTGTAGGTTCGGTCGAACCTCCCTGATCCTTGTTTGGTCGAACTTTTGAGGTTCGACCTCTCCTGCAAAATTGCTGAAAACAGGTTTGACACTGCTTTCACTGCACCCTGGAGGTTCGGTCGAACTTTTGAAAAGTTTGACCACACCAAGGTTCGACCGGACCTTTCAGAGGTTCGGCCACACCTCCTCTTGCACTTCCTTTTCTTGCTTCCTCTCCTTCCCTTTTGCTCCTCTTGCCTTTGTCCATGGCTTCCATGCTTGGCCAAGGGGCCTCCCACCGTGCACAGGACCGTCACGGAACCTGCAGAAGATACCAAAGTTCACGAGAGCATGGGGATGATAAAATAATGCATAAAGATTATCAAAATAAGAATTACTTTTCATCAACACAAAAAGAAGCCATAAGAGGATAATGAGGTGGAAAAACCTAAGAAAAAGAAGAGGAAAAAGACCTAAATACTACCCCTAAGAGTGACATAAATGTCACTCATCATTGGTGAACTCTAAAGGATCTCCAAAAGCGAGAAAACCTTAGTTTGTAAACTACAAGTTATTTTTTGGTCTAGCCCTGTCTAAGCTACGCAGTAGGGGCCGGTTATGATTCGTGTAATACCCGAATATTTTGAGATTTTATCAGATATATTTTATGGCTAAAATAAGATATTTTTTAAATTATTTTATAAATTCGATCTTATACTCTATTTTTGTTATCCTATAAAAATATCTTAAACCCTAAATATATTAGGTGAAACTTGTAGCTTTTATTAAATTCTCCTGACTTTCTTTTCTTTTTCTGTGTTCCTTTTTTCATTCCTACGTATTCTTCCTCACCATAAAATCCAATTTGCTTTGATATTTTGCTAGCCACTATGCATGTAAACAGTACTCTCATCATATGATTTGTATTAATTTGATCATCATCCACAATGTTCGTCAGTGCGTACCCCTCGCATTTTTGGTGTAGTAGTTTCTTTTTCGGTAATTAGTTATGTCTCAATGTGTGGGTATTCGTCGACAAGGTAATCACACGAGTTTATTTTTTCTTGGAACCAACTATGTTATAATTCGTATTATTATGCATAAGTTTCACAATTTGTTGTTTATATGATCAAGTTTCATATATATATTGGTTAATATGTCGTGATATATAATTTAATTGTTGTATTATTAATTATGTTCTTATGCTAGGGTTTTTAATGTTGTTGCTTTAGGGAGTATTGTTTTATTAAGGTTTTAGGGTTACTAGTATTGTTTTTGGGTTGTGAGTTAATTATATTTGGGTATTAGTTTTATTTCCCTATATAAGAGTTGAGATATACTATGATTGAATCAAATTCGAATGGTTATGTTATTTGGGAACCCGTGCCATTATTGAGATATTGATTATGAGTCTGTAAATGCTTATTTGATGAAGTATGAGATCAAAAGGGTTGAGAATTATTATTTTGTTCTTGGTTTAAAGCTCAGCGTTATATACCTTAGTCCTTGGCATGTTGGTAAGGAAATGATAATCATGAGTTAAGAATGAGATACAATCTTTATTTATATTTTTCTATGGTCCCCTATAGTGGGATTTGACCCATATGTGGTCTGGTTCAAGGTGTTTTTCTGGTTATTGAGAATATTCAAGTTTTTATACTTGTTGGTTTATTTATTCGAATTACTCATGTCCAAGGCTAGGTATAAAACAAAGCGCGTGGCGCACTTATGGGATTGATGAGTTAATTGAGTAAAGATCGTATTATTATTCAAGGTTGGATTTGACAAAGGTTATTTTCAGAGTACAATGTGTAATGTACTTTTGAACTACATTGTGTAATTGACCTAGTAATGTTGATTATTCTATTATACTCTGTATTCTGATATGTGATGATTACTTAGCTTTTTGCTAACGTGTGTGTTGTTTCGTTGTGCTACTTGTGTTTGCGACAATGTCTTTTTCTTATGGTGGCCTTACGACGATCTATTTCGGAATTTGTCCTTAATGGTGAGCAGTCAAGTTTGTCTAAACAGGTTGATCAAGTGATCGTAGCTAAAGGAGCTCAAGTGTTTCGATTAGTATTTTATAACAAGTTTGTAAAGTTGTATAAATAGTTCACCTAGTTTATTGGGTTGTAATTATTGGGATTTTGTAAGCCTTAGCACTTGACAAATTGTTGAGTGTGGCAGTAATACCTCCGATTTAGGTGTATGCTTCCGTAGTTTTTATTCAAAGGTTGTTTATTTTTCCTTTATTTATTATTTATTATTATCTAGTAAATTGGGGGTGCTACATATCTCTTGGTGACCTTCATTTCAGCTAAGCAATGGATTCCATTGCTGTAAAACACCTTTATCTTAATCATACTCTCCAACATAGGGGCTCCCTTAAGGTTCTTTTGGGAGTTTTTAGTATGTTAATGGTCGTTTCCTTTGAGAAAAGGCCAAAGCCTTACTAGAAATAGGCCGATTTCCGACGGACACATTTTTCTGTCAGAAAAATTAAAATTTCCGAGGGATTTTTGTTCTCTCGGAAATTTCTGACGAAATCAATGAATTTGTCAGAGATTAAATTTTTGACGGAAAAAATTCCGTCAGAAAATTCAGACAAATTTTCCGTTGGAAATTAATAATAATAAAAAAAAAAAACAAAACCTTACCCTCTTACCTAAACTGACAGCCCCCTACCCCTTATTTCATTTTTTCTCTCTCTCTTCTTCTCCTACTTCTTTCTCTTTCTCTCTCCTCTTCTCCGCCCTGTTTCTCGGTCTTCTTCTCTTCTCTTCCCTCCTATTTCCCCCTTTCTCTCTCTTCTCAATCTTCTTCTCTTCTCCTCCCTCCTCTTCTCCTTTTCCCTTTCCCTTTCTCTCTCTTCTCTTTTTTTAGGGTGGTGGGTTTTCATGGTTAGAGCCTAAAAAGCTTAAATGACGACGGAAATTTGTAGTCTTTTAGTCAAAACGAAGGTTTTTAGGTGAAATTCGATCATGAAAACTCTAGATTTAGAGTTTTCGTGGTCGAATTTGGCCTCATAAACCCAATTTCGAGGTTTTGTGTGGTGGAATAAATATGTATCTTTTGTTTTTTTTTTTTTTTAATTTTGAATTTATTTTGTTAGTTGTTCTTTCAATTTTTTTTTTAATATTTGCGGTGGTTGGGGTGTTTTGACGCCGTGTTGAGTGGTTTCAGGTGGGTGGTGGGTTTAGTCTGGGTGGTTTTAGATCTAGGTTTAGTTTGGGTGGTTTTAGATCTGGGTTTGGTTGGGTTTAGTTTAGGTGGTTTTAGATCTGGGGTTAGGTGGGCCGTGGTGGGTCGTTGTAGATCTGGGTTTAGTTTGGGTGCGTTAGGATTAGGTGGGGTGGGTTCGGTTCGGTTAAGGTTAGGACTTAGGAGGGGGGTCTGGTTCGGTTAAGGTGGGTGGTGGGGTGGTTCGGTTAGAGTGGTTGTGGTGTGGTTCAGACAGTTGGGTGAGGGTGGGGTTGACAATGGGTTTTCGGGTGGTTGAAGGTGGTCACATGCCGTGCTGGTGGTGGTGCGGCCTTTTTTTTTGTTTTCTTAAAATTTGATTGCACCATTTTCTAACTGAATTTCTGTCGGAAATTTCGAGCAGAATTTTTTCCATCGGAATTTTCCGACAGACTTTTCCGGGCCGAAAATCTCTTCCGACGACTCAATTCTGTCGAAAAAGTGTTTCCGACGGAATTTCCGTCGGAAAATATGGTTTTCCTACAAAAGCTGTTCCGACAACCGATTCCGACGGAAACGGCCTGTTTTCTTATAGTGAAGGTACCCACAGGTAAGGGTACCGAGTCATTTTTAAAAGTGACTCATAGTGTGTTGTCAAGTCAAGGTCGTCTGTTTTTCCTACCCCGGTTGCCTAACGTTCAGGACTTTTGGTGTCCTTTTGAACTCGTGGTTTTGTTAGCCACCCCATTCTCCAAGTTCAATTGCATATGGGATATCAAGTCAACAATGGTAAATTTGGGTATCTCTTGATGAAGCACGTTCGATGGCAACTCCTTGATTTATCAAACCGGCTGTTTCTTGCAAGGAAGATGTTATGTAGTTTTATTTATAATGTTTGTATCATGGAAGCTAGTAAGGCTTCTATGAGTAGTTTATCGAACTTACTCCATAATCTGTAATTTTTAATTCTGTTTATTAAGCATATGTGAAAAAAAGGAAAAAAAATATAAAAAAATAAAAAATTATATATATATATATATATATATATATATATATTAATACCCAAATGAAAATAAAAAATCAAGTCACTTCATATGAAAAATTACAACTCAAAAAGAATAGTCACAAAATTCGTCAATTTGGGCACAATTGTACGATCTAAAAGTTTTCAAAATCATATAGAAATTTTACTTAAAATCATTTATACAATAATTAAAGAATAAATTACAACAACTTCTTCATATTTAGGGCTCGGATTGAAGGATTTTGAGGGATTAGGGATTCAAGAGGTAGAAATTGAGTAGAAATGAATTGAAAAATAAACTGAAAAAAGAAGGCTGTTGAACGTGAAATACTTGTCATTTTTTAGTCTTTTTTATTTTGAAAAGGGTATTTTAGTCTTTTTATTCTATTGATATCATTAATTCATTTATGCATTTAGATTATTTTGTATTGCATTTATTACTTACGAAAACAAACTATGAAGATTTTATTGGCCCCACAATCATGATTCCTAAAATCATATTAGCACTATTTTTTGTTAGACTAATATTAGAACTATTTAAACACATTTACATACCTTAAATCTTTGGAACCTAGTCCCTATCCAATTAAAGATTAAAATTGGTGCACCAAAAAAAAATAAAAAAAAATTAAAATTGCACCTTAATTTCTACGCAATAATAATGAACAAATTTAGCTAATTCAACCCAAATTCATCAACATTCAAAATATACATAGGTATTTGATCAATGAACAAAGAAAAAGATGCACATAATGATGAATGCAATCATATTAGCGCGCACGGCGGCACGTTGTTTGGGGGCGGTGGATTCGGCGGAAGTAAGGCGGTTGCCGTTCGGGTCAATGTGGTGGATAATATACGCAGCAATATCATTTATGATGGTACTTTTTGCGGGTATAATGTCGGGTCTTACTCTTGGGTTGATGTCTCTTAGTCTTGTTGACCTTGAAATTCTCCAACGTAGTGGTGATGTTTCTGAGAAAAACCAAGCTGGTGATCATTCTTTTCTTCTTTTATTCTCCTTGATTTCGTGTTGTTGATTTTTTATGATGTGGATAATGTTGTCGAATTTTCGTTGTTGAAGAATGAAAAATGTATTCGTTATTGCTTTATAAGAAAATTTAATGAAAATAGACTGGATTATGAGTCTTGTTACTAAAATGAATTGAGGAACAATTAAAAATATTTTAATTAATTAGGGTAGAAATATGAGAATGTACAACAAATATGACAATCATTATTAAACATAAGTTACTAACGGTGTGTTTGGATAAAGAAATGGGAAAGAAAGGAAGGGGAGGGAGGTGAGGGGGAGGAAAGAAAGATGAGTTTTCCTTCCAAATCTCTCCATTGTTAGAGAGATTAATTTCTTACAATTTAATTCTTTAATTTCTCTCCCCTTCAATTCCCTTCCTTCTTTATTTGTTATCCAAATGAAAGATAATCCATCCCAACATTTTCTTTCCCTTTTTTTCCCTCAATTTCCTTCAATCCAAACAAAGTGTAAATTTCAATCATTGATTAATTTGGGCATATATGAATTAGAAAACATTTCTTTTACTAGTATACATTTTACCTTGCCAGTTTCATTTCTCAACCTTTCTTTATTGTTTTTCCTTGTATATATAGTAAAGTGATTTGTATGCTTGTATATGCAGCTGCCATTCTTCCTGTTGTTCAGAAGCAACATCAGTTGCTCGTCACCTTGCTTCTATGCAATGCTTGTGCTATGGAGGTACCTACATTTCAACTTCCCTATTCAATTTTATAATCGTACTTATGGTATCTTCTTGTTTTAGATCATACAATTTATCAAATTTCATGTACGTATTAAATTTGTTGCTGTATACTTTGCTTCATGCCATACCTAAATATATATGGGAGAAGGATTTTCGATACAATTCTTAGTATATGATGCTTAATGTGGCCAAAAAACATGTAAATATAAAATAATTAACTCCGAGTTGCTCTTCAATGTCAGCATTCTTTGCAATATTGCTTTGTTCTTGTTGCTTTAGTTAGCAATGATATTGTGCACTTATTATGTTTTAATGATGTAAAACTAATTGTCAAGTCTTCGATGTAATCAAACTGTCTTTTGCAGGCCCTTCCTTTATACTTGGATAAGCTTGTGAATCAATTTTTGGCTATAGTTCTTTCAGTAACTTTTGTTCTATTCTTTGGAGAGGTATATTTGTGAAGATAAACAATGACAGATTTCTAAAGATAAATTTTAATACCACATTTATGAAGTTCATAATTTAACATGTTTACTAGGTTATTCCTCAAGCTATATGCACCAGATATGGACTTGCTGTTGGTGCAAATTTTGTCTGGCTTGTGCGTATATTGCTGATAATTTGCTACCCAATTGCATATCCAATTGGCAAGGTATTAGCTCAATTTCTATTTTTGGACCCTATCCCAATTTGACCCAATATGATGCAAATCGATCAAACAACTTAACAACTTGATAGCAGGTACTAGACTATTTGTTGGGACATAACGAGGTTCTTTTCAGGCGTGCTCAATTGAAAGCACTTGTTAGCATTCATAGCAAGGAGGTAAATTAACATCATGCACACTACAATCTTTTGACAATAACAACTTGTCCAATTTATTTATTTATGTTCCTGTATTACCTTGATCAAAGTGTAGGCTGGCAAAGGGGGTGATCTTACCCACGACGAAACAACAATCATCAGTGGTGCTCTCGATTTGACCGAGAAGGTATGTCATCTCTCTGTAACCAGACTGTAAATTCTTTCATCTGATAGATTGGGAAAAAGGTAAAAATTTAGGTTTTTTCCAACAAATATTTTCTCATCTATAATACACTATACATTATCTCTTGTTCAGAAATTATTTGATAATGTCTATAAAAGAAGGCTTTACTTGTTTACTGTCATCTAAGCGTGCTACTCTTATCAATAACTATATTTTTTTTCACTTCAATTTTCAATTTTCTACTTTTTTTCTTTTCTGTGATGCGAGGAAGACTGCCAAGGAAGCAATGACACCAATTGAGTCAACATTCTCATTAGATGTTCATTCCAAGTTAGACTGGTAAGTTCTTGAACAATTTATATACCTTAGTTGTACACAATATCACATATGGAGTACCATTTCTCATGTTACTGTAGAATATACACCATACATTATCACAAGCCTCTTGCGGTCTTGCCTTTTGTTGGAAATCAATGCATCTAATTATTTGATATATGCAGCCTTATCACACAAATTTTAAGAGTTTTTGTGGTTAGCTCTTTGTGTTACATGCACAAATTAAGTTGATGGTTATGACTAGTTCTATGAAATCCATGTGTTGTAATGCTCCTCTAGGTTTATCATAGTAGGTGTATACCATAAACACTGAAATTGGTATATTCCCTTATTGTTTTACTTTAATACAGGGAAGCAATGGGAAAAATTCTAGCAAGGGGCCATAGTCGTGTTCCTGTATATTCTGAAAATCCAAAAAACATTATTGGTCTATTGTTGGTGGGTTTTTTCTTCATTATTCAGTAAATCTATTCATGGAATCACATGAGATACATCCATAGAGTTAATATTATATTTTGCTCGCAATGTTAAGCTCATCTTTATTATAATTTCTTTTGGGTAAAGGTGAAAAGTCTGCTTACTGTTCGGGCAGAAACAGAGACCCCTGTCAGTGCTGTTTCCATCCGCAGAATTCCTAGGTATGCCTCTTGCAACATCTTTGAGTTATTTGCCGTTGCAATGTAAGAAACGGTTACAAAATTCAATGTGTATTCAATCTTTGCTAGGGTACCTTGTGATATGCCTCTCTATGACATTTTAAATGAGTTCCAAAAAGGAAGTAGTCATATGGCCGCAGTTGTAAGGACTAGAGCCAAAAGCAAGAGCCCAACTAGAAACCATGAAGAGGAACCAAGGAACTACAATAATGCCACAACTGAGGATTCTGCATTAACAACTCCCTTGCTTCCAAAGGAAGAAGAGAGCTCGGAAAAGACCGTCATTGACATCGAGAAGACTTGGAAGGCTATCACTATGAATGGGCAAGCTGCCACAAATTTTCCATCTAATGTTGAAGATGGTGAGGTCGTTGGTATAATTACCCTCGAGGATGTGTTTGAAGAACTTTTACAGGTATATATGGACTGTACATTAACTTACTAAGTATATTTTTTAATCCTAGTGTACATTAGCCCTGGCCTTATATTGTCTGAAATATTCTTGACTAGCTAATTCTTCGTCGTTTCAGGAGGAAATTGTTGATGAGACAGATGTATATGTTGATGTGCATAATCAGTATGTTCGATTTCATGGTTAAAGCTTTCTTATTAATAAGGTATGGCATGATTTTTGAATGATGAGATCAACCCGGCCTGTTTGCTTTTCAATTTTTGCAGGATTCGTGTGGCTGCTGCAGCTGCTGCTTCTTCGATTGCACGAGCCCCTTCAATGAGAAGGCTGAACAAGGCACCAATAAGTTTTCCTTGAATTTATCTATTGCATGATGTTAATAATATTAATATAACTAGCTGTTTCACTTATACAATAAGTACATATTATCAGCATATGCACAATGATCTTAGTTAAAAAGTTGATATTTTGTTAGTACCTCGGGTAATTTACTTGCATTTGGATCTCCTTAGAGCTCACATTCAGCTCCATCATACTAGGTCATTTCATATATGAGAGCCAACACTAATGGTTGGAATTTTAAAGATTTTGGATCCAAGAACAAACAGCTACAAGTTTTATTAATTTCATAGGATTTTTCATGTGTAAATATGATAAAAGTATGCTTCACAATAGATGGTAGATTTGATATAAAAGCTTGATTAACTGATGAGAGGATTTGATAGATGCATCGAGACGATTTTAAGTTTTTAACAAGATCCACATGGTTATGTTCCTTTAATCCTAAGAAAGACTGTGATATTTCAATGTTTAATTGTAGGTTGGGTCAAATAATCAAGGACACAATCGGCGGAAGTCTTCTAATGTGGAAAATTGTCTCTCACAATTGCTTTACGACTCAAGCATGGAAAATTCTGCCTCGTCGACACCACATAAGTCTTGTACAGAGGTTTCTGTCTCAATGAGATTACATGAAACTACTACTGAACCTTCTCTTGAAACTAAAAAATGAAATTTCTCCAATTTTGTAAATGGATATAGTGACAAATTTCTTTTTATTCAAACAAAGGATTCAAATATTATCTGATAGACTTGTATTGTACATGCCAAATCACCCTGCAATAGTTAAAGAGTTTATTTGATACACTTGTAACGTACATGCCAAAACATAGAAAATATAGGTATTAATTTGATACACACCTATTAAAAGTAAAATTAGAAACACTGTTATTATTTTGTGACGAACTGAAATAGAAATATGGCCTTAATTCAGGAGGTTCGATGGGATTACCAATAGGCCAACAAGCTAGGACACCAAATCGATTATGCTTCACGTAGTTATATAGGAATAGGCTCAAAAAGTAGTGATGCAATTTTATCCTGTATGATCTGATTGACAATAGTAAAACCATCAGTTCTTCCCTTATAGAAGATTTCAGGTGCACGAGCAAGGTTGATGATCCGATCCAATAAAGGCTTTGGGATTGAGTATGGTCGAAGCATTCCTTGATTTAAATCCTTCCATGCATCCTCCACTTTCTTTTCTAGTACTTGGTAAACATGTTGCTCGTCTGTGATTCCTGTTTCCTTCATGTAGCATTGTACAGAAGAGACTACATGGTCTCTACTGTCCTGCTCAATCTGCAGTATACATGCATGATAAATCAACTATGTTTAATATGTAACGCGCTAATTATTTCATGCACCTGGAAAACAATACTAAGAATGTCAACAGTAAATTAAATGTATACCTTAGTGCTTGCAATGTCATTCAAAAGCCTAATGATCATTAGTGATGCTTCAACTACCTTAGGCATTGGATCTTGGCACACCCATTCAAAGTCTTCTTTGGTCGCAATGGGTTCAGTTATGCCAAGGTATGATCCGATGATCCCCTGAATTTGGCCAATTGACACTATAGAAGCTTCCAAGTACTCATCGTATTTGGGGGTATACTTTTTCTTGAGCCATCCGGCTTCACGAAGCCATGCCTTGCAACCACGGTAAAACTACAGAACCAAATGCACTAGTAAAGCATTGCCACCATAAGATAAAATGATTATTAACAAGGTGACCAGAAATAGTTGTCATATTGTCTATTATAGCCCATGGTTAGCTCAAAAGCCAAGCTATATACGGAATATGTGAGTAAATGTTAGTTGTGGAAGCTGATTCTTGCTAAGCTACTCAAAAACTGTTGCCGAACAAGCCCTATTATATAACATCAACAAATTCATGCGAATTGAATTGAAGCAGAACAACATACCTGCTCTTTATAAATTTGTACACCGTATGACCTGCCTTCTTCAGCTAATTCTTTCTCAAATCCATCTAATGTTTCAAGAAGCACTTGGTACACACTATTGAAATATTCTGGCAGTTGAGCTACGTAGCTATAGTCCCACCTATGTATTTAATTTGCACCGTTAACTCAATTCCTTTAAACAATAGTACTATGATAATCTAGTGCTACAATTTTGGTACCTCGTATAATATGATTGAATTTACGTACCTATGAACTGCCTCGACGAAGAGTTTCAGGATCTCATGAGAGCCATATGCGTCGAATATGTCATCAAAAACTTCCACAATCATAAATAGTTTGATGAGTATTTGTCTAGCACGACAATATTTAGGTTCATAATAGCATCCCAATATCCAGAAGTGAGCCTCTACCAATCTATCTCTTGCAAATGGTGCCTTCGAATACAAGTCTTTCCACCAACTAATTTGACAAATTAAGCATATTCAAAGTCACAACTTGTTGAAACTCGATCCTTAAATTTAATTATGGCCAATTATACGTCCATTCACATTAATATAAAAAGAGAGAGGTTTGATTTAGAATGTTGGAAGGGCTACTTCTCTTATTATCAGTAAATAAAAACTAAGGAAATACGTAGAGAATTACCTATCTATATCTTGCAACTCCTTTCGATGCAATAACTGAAGCAAATTAAAGTCTAACTTAGCCAAATTGAGAAGAGTTTTGTTGTGAGAAGCATCTTGTTCATAAAATCCGATGTAGTGCTTTGACTCTAATCGAACAAAGCCTAGGTGAAGTGGTTGGTGAAGGGCGTGAACTACTTGTTCAGCCAAAGGAGAACTCAACTTATCGACGATAAGTTTAAGGTGAGTTGTGGTGAAGGCGATAGCTTCGTCTAGGATATCATCTCCATGGATGCGAACATGGGATGCCTCGTACAAGCTTAGGATGCCTCGAGTGTCATTGAGTATGCAATCGTCCAAGCCTCCTTGGTCATTCTTAAACTTCTTGAAAACATCTTCATTATTCATCACCAATCAAGTCAAGTAGAATATCCATTACACATTCGGATATATTATAATATTATATACATGACGGTTAATAAAAAATATACTCTAAAACAAAATTATTGTTTGTTACGTACCACAAGACACGTGATAGCCATGTTGCCTAAGGATTCGAAATCGAGTGGAAACATGGTACAAATCATCTTTGTCACATTGATCATGGTAGGTTTCATACACTTGAAGTAAAGCTTCCTCAATTTCCTTCTCCAAGTAATACGCCAATCCAAGGCGTTCGATTGCATCGACGAAATTCAGCAGCTCCAATTGCTTGTTAACATTTGCAACTCTTGCAAGTAGCTCTTTCCTCACTTCCTCTTTTAGATGCTCAACTTCTTGCACCTTTTCAAGTTGGGTTGCCTATATCATCCAATATTTTAATTTGTTTTACAAATTACGATACATGTATAAAAGGTTCAATTCGTACTACTCGTATTAGTTTGTGTGTTTTTTTTTTTGTTTTTTTTTTTTTTTGGTTCAATTCGTTTACTTAAATTGTAGCTAAGAAATCTATAGGATTTCAATCTTCTTCTTGTAAGAAACAAATTTGACAAGAATTATATTATATCAAGCTGTATCCATATTCTTAAGTTCAACAAAAAGAAAAGTTAATAAGCAAAACAAAAACTATTATATTATTTAAATTACAGTCAACAAAACCAAGTTGCAGGAGAACAAAACTTTAGTCTCACGCAAGATTAACTTATAGTATTGAAAGACTCAACTACGAAGAGTATTGAAAGACTCAACTACGAAGAGTAAGGATAAATTAAATGAACCTTATCGAGAGGAGTGAATTCTAAAAACTGGTCACCCCAACGGGTTGGATGAAAGTAAGCAATAGGTTGAGAAGCAGATGTTGCACTAGACATCTTTTAAGCTTTTAAAATGTATTTTGAGATTTCTTTGGATATTCTTAGGCTGTGATACTTTAAAGGATAGTGCCTCGTTTATATAGAGTATTGAAGTGTAGTAATCAAGTATGAACAATAATCGTTATAAACTTTTAGCAAGTGTGGCATTTTAAATTTAAAAAATAGGCTATAATTTAAAATATAGTCGTCAAAGTTATTAAATTGCGGCCTAATAAGACCGCCTATCTAAGACTTTAAGATATTGGACCCTTCATCTATTTTTATTTATTTTTTATTTTTTTAATTTAACGGTGTTATTGTACATTGATCTCTAACTATTAGCGTTTTTTAAAACATTTATGCGATGATACAAACAATGCTCAATCACAATTATTTTTATATGTGGCTAGACACACGGTGTAGATAGCTATTATAAAGGTTATTTCGTTATTGTTATAGGGGTTACTCGCTCAATATTACAGAGGTTAATTCGTCAATGTTACAAGGGATATTCGGTTAGTATTACAGGGATTACTCGATCAATGTTATAAGGTTATTTTGTGTTTTTTACCAGTAGTGATCATATGATGTGGCTAGCTGCACACAAGATAGACTATTTATGTATTTTGATATCATATTGTGTTACATTTATTAGGTAGTTACTGGTTGGTTGATAAAAACCTGTAGTTTGTGGAATTATTTTCAACTCTTTTAGTAGTATTTTAGCTTTGTGCGTACCTCACTTTTGTTTGCACTCATAAAGTCATCACCTTAGCAGTTTTATTGCTTGAAGTCATTACTAATGTGTTTAGCCGGCACCTTCATCATGATCATCTGAATCGTCTTCTTCGCGACACCTTCATCATCAGATCATCATCTGGATCGTCTTCTTCGCGACACCTTCATCATCAGATCATCATCTGAATCGTCTTCTTCGATCCTGCTCTGTATGCTTTGATCTTTGTATACTCCGATTTTCGATGAGTCACGGTGATCTTATTTAGGCGGCGGACTCAAGGTGAGTCCGTCTCACCCAAAATTTTTCCAGAATAATAATATAGCAGCACAACATAGACCATCCTAAATTGTTAATCTTAGTGGCGTTATATCATAGTTTTTCCATATTTAAATAAGTGCATTCTTGAGTTTTTGGTTGACGAACCTATCAATGTACAATATCTTAAATATTATACTCCCTCCGTCCCATAATATAATTTCTTTTTTCCTATTTTGGAGACCAAAAGTTGTTCTTGTTTCTATTTGGATAATATATATGTAAAGACTATTATATCCTCATTTTTTTTACTTTATTCATTGCACTTCCTACATTACCCTTGAATTTTGCACATGTCTTGTACTTTTTTCCACTTTCTCTCTCTAACTTTTATCTATAATTGTGCTTTTCACTTTTATTAATGTACTTCATCCACTTTCTCCTCCTATTTCTTAAATAGCATGAAAAAACACAAACAGTAACTATATATTGGGACGGAGGGAGTATTAGTTAATTTTATTAAAATTATTTTATAAAAAATATAATATGACTAATTTGACAAAAAAATTCCAAAAATTCAAATAGAGTGCATACTCCCTCCATTCCTGAATAATTAACACACTTGAACTTGATACACAATGTTAATGCAGTGGTTTGACCTTATATATCTATGATCTGGCATGTACAAAATTGATATTAGGAAACTTTATATTAATACCTATTTAACAATATATCTCATGATCAAATTTGTTTTTATATGTTATTCCCTTTGCCTAGAATAATTGACACAGTGAAACTTTGTATATATGTCGATGTAGTAGTTTACCTTATTTTTATATAGTTAAATATCAATAAGATTAAAAAAAAAAAAAAAAGTTATTATGAAAATTTATATGTTTTCATGAAAATCTATATAACAATATATCTTATGATGATAAAATATGTTTTTTATTATGTTAGTAAAAAAGTATAGTCAAATTTAATATATGATTAGCGAAAAAAATTCAACGTATCAACTCATCTAGGACGGAGGGAGTATTAAAAAAACGATGCTCAAAATTAAGGGTGTGTTCTATTCACCTGATTTTCACTTATCTGTACTTATTTTATCTAATTTGAACTTACCTCAATTTATTAGACCTTATTAAAACTTATTTTAGTTAAAATTTATACTTGGATAGCCCTTATCAGAACTTATTTTTCCTGAACTGAAATTAACTGAATTTATCTGAACTCATTATACCTGAAATAAGTGAAAATAAGGTGAACAGAACAAAATCTTAAATATGAATAATGAAAAAAATAAAAAATAAAAATTAAATATGTCAATTATTTAAGAGTAGAAGAGTACATGAATTTTCAAAACAATGAATTTTCCAATATGACCACCTGGCTGGTTTTAATCAGTATTCCAATTTGGCAACTTGTTCTACGGAGTATTTTCAAAATATTGTAAGAAAAAAAAATGATACAATCATACAATAAAATATTTTGTATGCCTACTTTGGTATTGTATATTTGTATTGTATCATTTGTATGCCTACTTTGGTTACTACTTACTAGTCCTTAGTCCTTCCTAGTTACTACCCCACTAGTACTTGTATTGTATATCCACTTGCTCACTAGACTAGAAGATAATAAACATCCATTGATTTGTCGCATCAATTTGGAAAATCTAAAATTAGTTATTCTTATTTTTAGAAAATTTTGTATTGTAGGTAATTATCTTCTATAAAAAAAATTCTAGGAATCTTGACTCATTTGATTCAAAATACGGCAATTATAAAATTCATGATTTGATTGAGAATATGAGGCTTCGTATAATCGTATTTGATTCCAAGCGCTTTGTATTAAGTTCAAACACCTATATTATAATATATGATATTAATCACATGATGAAAGCCATCTAGAATGTAATCAAGAGATTAAAGACAAGAACAACCATTAAAATAAATAATTAAATAAATAAGGACACCAAACCATCCAAGAATCAATTAAGCAAAAAATGATTACACAAGGCGCTATAATATGATTTAATGTTAATAATTGAAAAAATCAATTTTTCGTATTGATAGTATATTAGAATTAGTTATGTTATGAACAATATGTAAGAAACCACATTTTAAATTACACTTTTTTTTAATGATGAAAAATCTCCTTTTAATAAAAAAAATTAAATAAAAAAGATTAGAACAAAACTTAAAAAAAAATAAAAACATAAAAAAAATAAAAAAAAAAAAAAACATTACAGTGAGATACATGATTTTTTTTTGTTCGACGGTTGACCTTGTTTAGATTAGGCGATGACTATCACGGGCTAGTAACTACTACTAGTATTTACTTCTTTTTTTTGGGTCAAAAACAACTTTTTAAAATTTGGATTTCTAACTATTAACCACCTTTAATTTTTTTAATTGTCATGATTTTATTTGTTAAAGACGGCATATTTAGCTGGATTATCAATTGCGTGACATAAATTTATTATATGTATGTTAGAAAAAGAAGGCTAATAACGAAATTAAAACTTATCTCAAAGCAAAAAGAATTGTCGTGGCGTGGCAGAAATCACTGCCTTAAAGTCGTATTTTCCGCGCACTCGTACACACGGACTCGCGGCAATCGACCCCGAGGGTTACACGACTTCAAAAACTTATCTCAAAGGATGAATAGAGAACTCAATAATACAATGCCCAAATAGTGTTTTTGAATATTTCTGAGAGAGATGAGAAAAGTAGTGTAGAAGTCGGTGTTTTCTGTGTTCTTCAAAGACTGAAAATAAACCGTATTTAAAGTGAGAAGAGCCGAAAAATTAAGGGAGAAAATCTCGGTAATTAGTCAAAGAAAACGGAGGAGATTTTGGGGAAGTTAATCAGTCAAATAATTGATTGACATAATTACGGAATAAATCAAGGGTTAAATCCGCGTAATAACGGTTATAATATCAACAATGATATTGTGACCGTTATCCGAAAGTTTACATAAAAATTTAGAACCATGTGTAACATCTGGCCACACCCGCACACACGTATCACGAACAAGAATAGCCCACACAAGTTACTCAAGAACAAACATGAGTAATGAAGTATATAAAGAGGGTAAAACCTCTTTACCTCACCAATGTGGGACTTTGTTCTTTTATTTTGAAGCAACCAAGGAGACTATTATTCAACGACATCTCCAACAACGTATACTCATTCAGTCATCCTTAACGGTTTTAATTCTTCAATTTTAAATGCATAAGTAGATCCATATTCTTCATCAGTACCAACAATCATGTACTTGTATGAGTTATAAAATGAGCAATCTGAAAAGGAACAATAAAAGGCTCCTATGAAAACCAACTATTCCAACTAAGGCCGTAGGCCCAGATCCAATGCAGTAGTCTGTAATAGAATTTAGTAAATGTAAATCAATCGTTCAAAGTAAAATTCAACGAGAATAGAGGTTGAAAGGAACCCTATTTTTAGAGGGGAATGCAACTTCAATTCAATTCAAAGGGAAACCTGTAGTATAACGTTGTTTGATTTTAAAAAGAAGGCACGGTGAGTCAGTGATGAGGTGTTACTAACTTACTACGAAGTATGTGTCTTTGTGTCACATGTAGGCACTACCAATGCCTATAGATTGTGAAACAGTGTAATAGTTTAATTTTGATGTCAGTCAAAGATTGAAAGTTGCTACATGTGGTCTTTGAAAGAAAAAAATATATGAATAAGGTGTTCTTAAAAAAAATAATGGTGTATTATTAAAAAAAATAATGATAATAATGTTATATGTAGCCTTTAGGACTAAAATTAATATTTAATGTTGGTAAAATATATGTCGATTTCAATAATAAATTAAAGAAGATGGAAGGAAAAATACTTGATTTATAATCTCAATAATACGCCACCATCGGTACTGTAGGGTTTTACGATGTCACGAACACCAAGCGGAAACAAACCCTGCCCCGAACCACATGCATAAATTAATACGACTAACATGCATATAATAAATAAAGCAATAAACACACAAGAGAGAGAGAGAGAGAGAGAGAGAGAGAGAGAGAGGAGGGAAAAGACAATCATACCCTTAAAGCGTGCTTGAACCTCTCTCGAGCAAGAACCTCATACTACGGAGCGAGAACCTCACACGTGGTTCCTCCAACAGAGTCCACCCGTGCGCCCAAACTTGGTCAGTATTAGTGGCTAGACTAATACACGACACTACTACAAGAGGTTTACGTACTCCACGGGTTTTCTCAAGTTTTATGTGGAGATGCACTTTTCGAGTCCAACTCTTGCAATTAATTCCCAAAGCATGCTTGGGTATTTATAGAATTGGCATCTCCCATCCCATTAAAATCTTTCAATATAATGTGGGACTTTTCATAAAGTGAAAAATCTAGCATTTAATTTATTCTAAAATAAATCAAATATCTAGAACATATAGTCAAGCAACACTCACTACTACATTTTTGACCTATTGCAACCCCCAAATCCGTTGCATTAGGCGTCAAAATCCGTGGCATTAAGCCTAATGCAACGGCCATGTGTCGTGGCATCTGGTGGCGTTGCAGTAGGTCTAATGCCACGGCATCAATGTTTCGTTGCGTTAGATCAGTACCTAATGCAACGACAATATTATTGTCGTGCACGGTTCCCTACACTTAATGACACGGTGCATATACCCTAATGCCACGGTTCCCTACACCTAATGCCACACAGTGCATAGACAATTAAATTGAAATTTCATTAATGAAAATAAAGGGTTTATACATTGTTTTCATTGGGAAAATTATAAAATAAATTATCACTATTTAAATTAGCATTAAAATTCATAGCTAAATAACCGAGGAAGATTATTACAAAAATTTAATAGACTGAAATGAAAGCTCTACATCTTTTGTTCCCAAATTATATAATATAGAATC